GGGGTGAGGAGGGGGTTGTGGGGGCTCTCCAAGCCTGAGACCTACATCACAGTGAGATTGGGACCTTGTGAAATCTCGAGGCAGGAGGTCTGGTGACTTAGCAGTGAGACGGGGAGACGACATTGTTTTCGTTAGAGCTTGGATCCGAGGCCCTGGTCAGCTGTGCTTTGTAACAATCACCACATTAGGGCATCCTGCAGAAGCAGGCTAGAGACTGCAGCTGGACTTCATAAAACACGTCCACATCCTGCATCTCTTTGGGAAGTCCCCAAGACAGCTGCTAATCCACCCACCCAAGGTCTTCCCATTCACCTGGGCTAGATCCATGGAGGCAAGAAACTCCATTGAAAACTACAAAGGTTTATAAATCATTCTATTGCAAAGACATGCACACGTATGTTTAATGTGGCATTGTTCACAAAAGCAAAACTTGGAACCAACCCAAATGCCCATCAATGATAGACTGGATAAAGAAAATGTGGCACATATACACCATGGAATACTATGCAGTCATAAAAAAGGATGAGTTCATGTCCTTTACAGGAACATGGATGAAGCCGGAAATCATCATTCTCAGCAAACTGACACAAGAACAGAAAACCAAACACCGCGTGTTCTCACTCATAAGTGGGTGCTGAACAATGAGAACACATGGACATGGGGAGGGGAACATCACATACCAGGGCCTGTCAGGAGGTGGGGGGATAGGGGAGGGAGAGCATTAGGACAAATACCTAATGTAGATGATGGGGTGATGGATGTAGCAAATCACCATGGCACATATATATCTATGTAACAATCCTGCATGCACATGTATCCCAGAATTTAAAGCATAATAAGAACAATAATAAAAGAAGACTGCTTGGGAAAAAAGAGCACGTTGTTTTGTTCACAACAGAAAACAGAGCTACACTGTCACTGCAAAGGTTCCGACAGGCTACCAAGGGGTAAATATTATAGGAGCAAAAAGGTATGGCTTCTCTTACTGGGGAGAAACTGCAGCTGTCTGAACTGGGTTGTGTCAATATGATTCAGGTTTGTTTTTGTTTTTCATTGAGATGGAGTCTCGCTCTGTGCGCTCTGTTGTCCAGGCTGGAGTGCAGTGGCACAATCTCAGCTCACTACAACCTCCGCCTCTCAGGTTCAAGCGATTCTCCTGCCTCAGCCTCCCGAATAGCTGGGATTACAGGTGCGCACCACCATGTCAAGCTAATTTTTGTATTTTTAGTAGCGACAGTGCTTCACCATGTTGGCCAGGCTGGTCTTGAACTTGTGACCTCAGGTGATCCACCTGTCTCAGCCTCCCAAAGTGCTGACACTACACATGTCAGCCACTGGACCAGGCCCCCTCATTTTTTTTTTTTTTTTTCTGTACAATGAAGCAAAAAATAATACCTCTCCCACAGGGCTGCATTCCATGATTTGCTACATAAATGCCTAAGTGAACCCGGCGCATGGTGTGGGTCTGCTGCATCCACCACCCTTCTCACGACCAGACATGGAGGAGGTGGAAAGGACGTAAGAGGAAGCTGCGTGGATTCAGGGGCTTTGTGTGGATTCAGGGTCTTCACATGGATTCAGGGACTTTGTGTGGATTCAGGGGCTTTGGACTCAAGCAGTGCATGGATGGTGGTGCTGTTTACTGAGGGGGAGATGTGGGCTGGGAAAGGAGGGTCCTGTTTGAAGTATCTGGGGGAAAAGCAAGAGGAGGTGGCGGGACTGCATCCCTTGTGGTAGGCGGGGATTTTATATGTCTTTGCTTCTCACTGCAGGCCCACACCTAGCAGAGTTCAGGCCCGGGCGAGGTTTACTGAAGGCTTCGCCTTGGAAAGGCTTCACCAGGAAGAGGCGTGGGCTGGGAGGAGTGAGAATGCAACAGGCTCTTTCTGCTCCTTCCACCATTGCCCTGCCCCATAGGATGCTGCTGCTGGGCAACAGAGACTGGACATGAAGGTGCAGCAATGCCTGTAACAATCCAACGTGCTGAGACCCATAAACCCTCAGCCGTTGTGTGCCAAGGCCCTACAAATTCTCCCATTCCTCAGTGGTAACACAGAGGAAAAAGCAAGGGAGAGAATAGTCATGACCACCACGGCACGGGAGAGGGGAGGACCTGGTAAAGCAGAGGGGTGAAAGAGTTTTCCAACTTTGCAATTTACAGAACAGCCTCTCTCCTGGGGCCACTGGACCTGGAGGAATGCGGAGAGGATCCCAATACAAGTAACCTCATGGCAGGGAAGGCCAGGGAGAGTATCTGAGTGCAGTTGTCTGAAGGGGGCTGTGTTTGGGATCCTCCTACAGCAAAATGCTCCTGTGGTATCCGAGAGTAACCGCGGGTGGGCAGGGCAGGACGCAGTTCAGAAAGTGATAGCGGTCCAGCCAAGACATGAAGCCGAAAAGCTCCAAGCCTTGCCTTCAGGCTACGCATGAGGGGGATGCCCTAGCTAAAGTCACCCCAAGAAAGCAGACAGCACTGGTTCGCTTCAAAGAGGCACCGATGGCATCTGCAGTGTTCACAACTTCTTACTCTTGCAAGTGTTGCCCTCACCTAAAGACAATTTAAATGTTGACAGTCTCAGGACACTGGGTCCTTCAGGCATTCAGAGGTTCTGACTTCCTCCTGGTATAATGTTTACTGGGTGTCACCAGTTATGGGTTAAGAAACATCACATGCCAAGAAGACCAGTCTTTCACTAGGACCCACAAACTCCAATCACAAACATGGGGCACCCATGGCAACCCCTGACAATTTCTCTCTGCACTTAGCAAAGCCTGAGGCAGGGAAGGGCAATGAGTCCCATCCCCGTTCTTCTGTCTGTGCTAACGAGAGGGGTTGCTTTCTGAATACACACCAAGGACTTTCTGCACATTCCCATGAATTCTTCCAGGTTTTAGATGAAGCGAGAAGCACCAGCCGTCAGTGCTGTAAGAAGCTGTGGTGGGATGTGAAGATTTGTCTGTCCTGGCTTTGAAGCCTGGCTCTTCCCACTCTACCACATCAGCTGACTTTACTGTGCGGAACTAAGGCCTGGGAACAGAAGGGTCTTCCTTGAGGTCACATGACCGTTAACCAACAAGGTCAGGCCCAAATCTCAGCACCATGACGCCAAGCCCAATGCTCTCTTCACAGGGCCAGAGGTCAAACTATTAACTTCAACACAGAACAATGCAAAAACTGCCACCACTCTCTAATAATTTCCCACCATTTAGCCAAACGGGGTTTCTGATCGTCTACCCATCTATGCCCGTCATTAAAAAGTCATTTCTGGGTTGAACGTGGTGGCTCACACTTGTAATCCGAGCCCTTTGGGAGGCGGAGGTGGGCAGATCACGTGAGGTCAGGAGTTCGAGACCAGCCTGGCCAACATGGCAAAACCCCGTCTCTACTAAAAATACAAAAATTAGCTGGTGTTGTGACACACACCTGTAATCCCAGCTATTTGAGAGGCTGAGGTAGGAGAATCGCTTGAACCTAGGAGGCAGAGGTTACAGTGAGCCAGGATCATGCCACTGCACTCCAGCCTGGGTGACAAAGTGAGGCTCC